AAGTTGTCGCGACGAAAATCAAACAACTCCCTCGGACGCGATTTCTCAGTTAAAAGACCAATTGCCTGAAGAACATTTAAAAATAGATGAATACGCTAGATATTTAGATTCATAATCAATCAGCAATGCAAGATGTTCAATTAACTTTCGAATAATGAAACCTTTATATACTGATGAGCAAGTTCAAGCCATAGTAAGTCGCATGCGCGAGCAAATCTTAACTTTAATTGCTGGACTTATTACCGATTTTCTAGACGGAAATTTGGATATAGATCAACTAATTGCCCTGCTTGAAAACGTTGAAGACCCTTAAAATAGAATCTACCTATTTGCGCATGCTCATATCCCTATGATTAACATCCAGTAAAATCCCTCTAGTAAAGATTAATTTCGTGCCTAATGTTATTTCCCTAGAATCCACTAGATCAGTCCTAGTTCTCAGCGTTCCTGGGGTATAGCCACAGATATATAGACTGGATTGAGCATTGCGAGATAAACAAAAGCGCGCCCGCTGTAGAAAGAGAGGTACTATATGGGAGGCTTATGTTTGTCCCTTTTTCTAGCATCTCATTGGTGATTTTCTATATGGAAAAAGACAAAATCACCAATGAGATGCTAGGAAAAAAAACAAAATAGGCCTCCTATATAGTATCTCCCTTTCTACAACGAGCGCGTGTTTGTCTATCGCCACGCTCAGTCCATTCTATATGTATGTCTATGGTGTATATAAATAAATATATATATATATATATATATATATATATATATATATATATATATGACATACAAATTTTTTAATTATTTTTTTGAAATTGATATACACGATTATTTTGGGCTAATTTTTATTATTCTTTTAAAGTAAAAAATAACTAAGAAAGAATTTTTGAAAGGTTTATCTGCCACCTTGTCCAAGCTGCCCCATGTCCAATCCACCGAAATTAGAAGTGACATATTTGCCGCCCTCACCACCCCCTCCGCCATCTTGCTTTTACGTTTGCAAAACGGATTGCGTCCCCTGCATTCCACCTTGCCCAAAGCCAACAGCCATGCGCCCTTCATCTTGCAGAATGCTTTGCCGTAAGTTTATTACCATGTTTTTTTTTTAGAAGAATATTTATTGTTAATATTAATGTAATTTTCTCTTTTTGCAGCACCTTGTCCCCCTTGTTAGAACACAGTGTTCTAATTGGCAAGTCACTGATAATTATGCAACTGTATGCAAAGGTGCGTCATGAGTCTACGGAAACGCAAAAATACGAGCTTGTTACACGAAACGCTTCAGTGATGAGATTTAAAATTATGGAGTATTGTATTGTAATATACTTTGTGATTCCTGATAAATTCAAACTAATTATACACTCATATTTTTTTTCTGGTGTATTATAAAATATTATAATTTCTATGTATATATATACATGTTGTTTTACAATGTGTATTATAAATTGTAAAAAAAAGCTAATGTAATTGTTACTAAAATATAAAAATATACTCTTATGTTATATTTACACAAATTTTGATATATTTTATTATATATGCTCATCATAATTTCCCTGAATAAAGAAAATAAATATTTTTTATATCTTCGAATATTTTCTACAATTTAGTATTATCCCTGTTAGTCAGCCGTTCTCTTGTACAATTTTACAAATAAAATTAAATATAAACAAAATTAATTCTACATACTAATATATTTCTTTTAATTATAAACAAATAAAATCTTTCTCTCTCTCTTTCTTTATATAAACATATATTTACACTATATATAATTCATGTATACTTTATATGTATATAATATATATATACATATATTATATGCTATGATATACACACAAAACATATATATCCATGGTAACTAGTCACGCACTTGTCCCTCTTTTCTTAACACGTCAAAACTCGCGATTTCCTTTCGGCGGTAATGCAAAATCCGATCTGAGAATTTCCCTCATCAAGTTTAAACGATGATTTTTTGACAGCAAGTATCGCATTACCCAATAAGCAAAATTAACGATAATGAGAAAGAGGTAAGAATATTTCGAAAAATATATGTTAAATTAATAAATTCAGTAAATTCCCATTTAACAAATTCCTTTTCAGGAAAGTCTCAATCGAGAAGAATTCTGAATACAAAGAGTTATCTGCACATCCAAGCGTAGCAAATTTACGAACTATCAATATAAGCCATCAAGAAAGTTCGCGATCTACAAAATCGCCGTCTGTACAGAACTTGGACAAATCGCATTCGTTAAACAATTTCGCGAAATCAGAAAACGATCAAAAAAGAATGCTACCGGATGAGATGCAACCTCCAAAAACCAGATTTAGCTCTCGAGACAGATCGAAGGAGACACATTTAGCTTCCTCTCCACGACTCAAAAGTTTCCCTGCCGAAAAGATCAAGAAATTGGACAATCAGCCAATGTTCTTGCCCGAACCAAACGGCGCTTTAATCGGACAAAACCCTCAAGAAACTGACACCTTCTTCGCGAGTTCCTCTATCAGAAGTAACAACGGTCATGGTGACGCGATACCTGCTACATTATCGTCATATCAACAATCAAAAGTAAATTTTAAAGAAATTTCTTTTTTTTTTATTTTAAATTAATTTATACAACCATTTTAATTATTATTTAAAGTGATTTATTTTAGTAAAAAATAGAAAAAATGTAAATATATCAAATTAGTTAATAATATGTATATCAAAAACTATGTAAAAAATATTTATACATATTAAATATATATCTTAATATATGTTTGTTCATACATATACATATAATACGATACGAGATCTATATTTTCAATATTATTATTATTATTATTAAATATGATTTTGCTTCTATGTAGAAATATAGAATAATTAATTTTTTTATTAATGTGCAATTTACATTTTTTTAACTGCAGGATACATCCAATACGGATCAGCAACAGATTGTAGCTAACCATCAACATATTTGTGAAACAAGACCACATTCTGAAAACTTGCTCACTCAACCCATTGCGTCTCCCGAAAGACATCCTTTTGTATCAAGCATGTCCCAAGGAACAGTCGCCTGTGATCGATCATTTCAAAACCCATCCGCGACGATTAATCAGCCGGTAATCATTGCAACTCCGACGCAAGTCACAATGTCGCAAATGCAACAATCTTCGAGTAATTCTCATGCAATTACCGATCAAAATCGCAATGAAACATCCGCTCTTGTTAGTGGATGCGAAAGGCAATCGATTGGCGGCCAAAACGCAGTTAATCATAAACAAATGTTTATACAACCGAAGCAAGCAGCGGTACAGGATGCAAACCCGCCGTTAAGTGATCGATGTGCCAGTAACTGTCAAAATGTCTATCATGCTCAGTTGCATGGTTCATTTCAGCAAAATTCTCAACAAATAAATGAACAAACGCAGCACAACGCGTATCATCAGCAAATGTTGCCGCAAGCTCTCAATCAAGTGCAACCACCAATACTCGATCAGCGACAACATCTACATAATAATTCAGGATTATATGGTCATTATAATCAACAATTATCTGCTACACAAACTTCTGGATATGGAATGACTTCGCCACAAGACATGACAGTAAATCAGATGAGATTAATACAACATAAGTTGCCTATCCATAACCATAACCTTGGATATTCTGCCAATCTTCAACCGGCATGGACGCAAAATGATCGATGGATGCAAACACCAAATCAGCAACATCTGCATCAACAATCCCCGCAAAAATGGCAGTATTATCATCAAGATACTAATTTCAATCAAAAAGATTCTAAAAGCCAAGGTCAATCTAATCCATCACAGAACCATAAATCTACTAATCAACAATCGGCCGCGGAAGCTCACAGTCAACAAAATGATGGAAAAAAGAAACTGCAATTCACATCTGATATGATACGCGATCAGGAGCTGCTAGTTTCCACCATGAGGCAACAAGGTATACCTGAGGAGATCATGCGCCGTCAATTTGACGCATTGCTGAACGAACAACAAAAGCATCTAGTTTATCTCACGCAATTTCAACAACAGGAAAATATTCCGGATGTAAAAAAAATTCGACTTGTGCAAAGAAGAATAGAGAAGGAAGAAAAACCAGAATGGATGATACACATTACGCCACCGCGAATATCTTACAATGAGATTGAAAGACTGACGGCACAGCAAAGAGATCAAAAGAAACAATATCAAACAGACGGTCAATCGCCGGAAGAAGTTAACAGAACAGTGACTGCTCGACAACAAGATTATGGCCAACAGAAAAAGCAAGAAATAAACAATCAAGCTAGTCTGCCTCAACAGATGTACGTTCAGATGAATCCTCATCAATGGCAGCAACAGATGATCAACTGGCCATATAAAAATGATCATCAAACTTATACAGCCAGTTATCCTTATGGTCATCAGCAAAATACATTAAATAATATATATCATCAGGCAAATCCAACTTTTAACAAATACATACCATATAATACGCGTTATAATCCATATTACTCGCAACCTGAGCAACAAAAAATTTGGCAAAACAAAGAACATAATCCAACTTCATCAAATTCAATTGATAATCAGAGACTGCCAATGGACTTTGCACGTTTTGAGCAGAATAAAAGACCTACCGAACCTTCTAGCTTGTTAAAGATACGGATGTACAAAGAAATGATTCGTCCTCAGAAGCGGAATAACGGTTTGCAGGATCCAAACACTATACAAAAGGTGCTGGAAACACTGAAGAATCCGTCGAGTAGAAAAGGTCTCGAATATATGGCCAATATTACCAAGAAAAGACCCGTCATTAGATTGAATGGTGCTCAAGATTCTAACGAGACTCCGGAAGATATGCAACCGCGACCATCCGTAGAAATGACCCCGCAGTCTCAGAAAAAAATCTCGGCAAACGGTTTGGAGAACACAAGGAATCCTAATAATCCTGTGCCATGTATTATGCCACCTAAGAGAGCCGATGAGCCCGGGATAAGAGAATATCCGCGACAGAGGCAGAATGCAAGAATTTGTTACAGTATGCAAGCCGAAAAGGAAAACGGCGCGATAGCGATTAATAGCGATCAACAGCGATGGCAACCGCGAGACCACGCAGTTTCCTACACGCAGGATGCGAGATCGATTCCTTACGATCGACAGAATGTACCTGTAACGCAGGGACGTCACGGCGACAATATCCCGGTTTTCCAAAACGCGAGTGCTCCTCCTCAACATTATCATCAGATGCAGCAATACTATCTAAACGGACAGAATTTAGCCGGTCACAGTGGCCAGGGCGACGTTGTGAGCATGCAACGACCGGATGCACCGGGCGCGATGAGAATCGATCGCGCCGGCGGTGATACCGGTGAGAAATCGAATGCCGAAGGGGCGACGAAGCGCGTAGATATGCAAGCGATACAGCGAACGAACGTTTATGGCCAACCGGAAATCCACGAGACAAGGACCATCGGAGGTATCACGTACCTCGCCAGGAAGCCCGAATACGCCCCTAACAATCTCACCATTTCACCAAATAAATTAATCGCGAGTAGACATTTGCAACCCCCGAGAATATTTTAATTTGGCCGCCGAATCTTATCTTACCGAGATTGAGTTCAATTTTTAACTCCACATGCGTTAGAATTACGAAAGATAATTCTGTATCTCGTTATAACGTTGAATATGCACAAATTTTTGAAATTATTTTTTATATGTCTCTTTATTTTATATGTCAAACGTAATATTTTATGCATATTTTATTACGCTTTTACACATCTAATAGCGAATTTGATAAATAATAAAAGTGCAAAGTTAAGTCGTCACATATTCTAACGCAAGAGAGTTAAAATGATTTTTTAATTTATATATTTGTATAATTCTACTTCTATATTTAAATTATTTAATTAAAACAAAGTTATTTATGTGAGTGATATAGCGAATTCATCATACGATAAAATATTCAAAAATAAGTGTGCTATTTTTTATGTTGTGTTTATTTTTTATGTCATGTTTATTTTTTATATCATGTGTATTTTTTATGTCAATATTACAAGAATATACCTTGCAACTTAACAAATTTTAATTTTTAAAATTTTATTTATTATATATATTTTATGTGCGTGGACATTCTAATTTTTGATATATTGTGTTATGTATATTTCAAACACAAAATACTATCGAGAAATGTTCACAATTTTTGAAAATGTAATAAATAAATATCTAAAATGTCAAAACAATTTATTGCAGTAATAAATTTATTATTGTCTCTTTCTTTCTCTTTAATGTCATGTAAAGTAAGAAATTTAACAAAATAAGTAATTTTTATCATGGGGAAAAATCGATAAATAGAACTCATATGTTAATTTAATTAGATAAATAATAGTGCGAAGTAAGCAATACAATACGAAATCGATTATTAAGCGTGACAGGAAACAATTTGTCAATATTTATCTTTCAAGTTTCGGTGCATAAGATATTTTCCGGTACTAAAATTTATACAAAATTTAACAAGTATATTTAACATGGGCAAACAGAGGCGAGATTTTATGAATGAAATGTATAATATTATATGCGAAATAGAATGTTTGTAAGTATATATATATATATATTTGCAACTTTTACTTATATTTATATATAGTTTGCTGAAATTAATAATTTATTAATAGAATATTCAATCAAATAAGATTTTCTATTTAAAATAAGATTTATTATGATATTCATAAAATAGACAGACATTCACAGAATGTTCCTTCTGTTTTGTTTTGCCAGAAAACCCGAGCCCGAAATGTGCAACGTGAGCTGTCCCCCTTTAGGATGTCCCTTAGGACCCTGTCCGGGGATGTGTTGTACAAAAAGAATCTGCGATCCTTGCTGCGTGTCGAAGATGCCATGCAATCCTTCGCCTCGTTGCTACATGCCATGTTGTTTAAAAAACCGTGCACGTAATGGGAAGTGCTCGTCCCATCCCTGCGGTTCTTCATCGATATACATAAATCAACAGAACCCTTGTCCACCGCCTTATAACCTTATGCCGATTGTATCGCCTTGTTACATATGGAATCAATAATTTAGAACGCATAGTTTCAAAATGGAAATAAAATCTGTTAATTATATAACACGGAAAAAAATATTTCTCATTTTATTAAATAAATTGAAATAAAAAATCCAGATTATGCTTAAGAAAATTGTATTTCTTTCTATTTTTCGTTCTTATGATGTTTTTATATAATTTTATAATTTATTTTATATTTATTTTATATTTTTATAATTTTTTAGCATAATTTTATTTTATTACATCTCTGTCTGTTTGATATTACTATTAAATTATATTCCATATAAATCCATACAAAAAAAAAAACTTATATGTTCGATGTGCTTCGATATATATTATTTTTATACATGTTATTTTTTCAATCCTATAAATGAGGCTGACAAAATAATCAAATCGACAAATCGATTATCAATTTTAGATATCAGATGCAGTAGTGTATTCTACTATTTTCAGTGCGTATCAATAATATCTTGATTAATAATATAACCGATTATTTTAATTACAATTAGCAATAAATAAAATCTTTATTCAGGGAAAAGAAAGAGAAAAGTAATAACAAACTAAATATAACATCTTCATAGAATATTAATATAAAGAATGGATGAGAAAAAGAGAAGTCTGACTACATGTTACCCAATCATACATAATTCTACGAAGATACTCATGGTTTTAACCGATATAAAATCATGCGATCAGAGAGAACAAGAAGTTAGTTTCAAATGTAGAATAGTTTATATATAGAGAGAGTCTCAAATCTGCAATGTTTATCAATTTCATTAATGTTTTTGCAGTATGACATGATTCCCTCGGAATACATCAAACAGATGCTAATGAGCGCTCAAGAGAGGGTCGATTATTTATTAAAACCAGGTCGCAGTATAAACGTACGGCATTTATACGACAATTGCGAAAGCCAATACTTCAAGGCTACACCTAGCATTGTTCTCTTTCAACAATTCGTTCCTGGCAATGTATACAATATGATGCTCACAATTCGGAACGTGACAAAAGTAAGTTCTACTCTAAAATTTTAATACACAATACACAATTCAAATCATGTATTATGCTTCAAGCTATACAATATTCACGAGTTTAACCCCGAATCTCCCTTTTTAAATGTCACGTCGCAGATGTCGCGACACCTAAAGATCTCGCGCAACCCCGATCCCTTCTTTTCCGTGGAATATCACGGATCGAATTATAGCACTATGGTAGCGCCAGGACTCGTTCACGTTTATAACGTCAGGTTCAACCCGGCAGAGAAACGAGACTACGAGTATCGTGTCGAGTTTATCAACGATACCGAAATCTTTGAAGTGCCGGTAATTGGTGAGTAAATTACGTTTATTATACATATAATTATTATATATACAATGCAATTATTAAATATACGTTCACTTAACGCGGAATAATGCAGGTCAAGTTAATACTATTTTAGCTATCGGTCCGAGACCTATTCTAGATATTCCTGATCGGATCGAAATACCAGCCACCGCGGTGAAAATTCCCTCCTCAAAAACTATTTTAGTACGCAATGTAGGAGATATGCCGGCAATCTTCAATTTTTACTCCGATAAGTATGTGTTATATTTGGTTAAACAATTTTATAACAAAGTTTTTTTCAAGAGATTTTTAAATAATATCTCATAATTTTTCTAAAATGCCTTAAACAAAATAAATAATTATACGGAAGAGTAATTTATATATGTGATTTATATTTGAATCTGTATATATATAATATAATTCATGAATATACTTCGTTATAGTCCAAGTTTTTCCGTCGAACCGTCAAAAGGCATATTAGAGGAAGAAGAAACTATGCAACTTACTGCAAACTTTTTATCCGAGAAATCTGGCGAATTCAAAGCAAATCTTTTTCTTAATTATGAATCAGGTATTGACAAGCAATTAACTGTGTAAAAAAAAAAGAAAGAGAATTAATATTGAATTTAACAATAGTAATTTTACATGTTAATAAAATTAACTTTTTCATAAAAAAACATGAATTTATGTAACACATATATAAATTATTGCAGGGGAGAAACTTTGCTTAACATTACAAAGCTTAGCAATAAACTGCACGATTCGAATTGATAGAGGTAGTGTCAGAATGGAAAACACTTATTTAGGTTTATCTAGAAGCAAACTCCTGACGATTCACAATAGAAGCGACTATGTCGTGAAATTCCAATGGATGCGTTTTAAAGACAGGCATGCTGATATACAACGAAAGGAAGAGTAAGCATAAACAATTATTTTTTCGCCTAAAGCTTTTTATATCTATTTTTGCGATTTTTTGATTTTTCGTGGCAGATACAAAACATTATTTCAACTGGTGCATAATATGGAGATGGTGCGTTGTGTCAGTCTCGTTCATTACAATATTTGCCTGCCAGATATTCACGAACTTATCTGCCAGCGGATTTACGCGGACGAGATTGCTTCCTTGATGAATGAGAATTTCTACTACAATCATATGTCCTTTCTTCTTATGCCTGAGGTGATCTTTTGTGATAATTTTCGTAGCTCTTGCAATTTAATAACGCTGTATGTCCTAATTATCAATAATTCTCTTGTTTATTTTTTTGTTTACATATTGTTACCAATTATATCATTGAAAGTATATGCCAAAAACATTTCTTAAATTTTAAATTTCTTTTTCTTTTTATTTATTAAACATAATTTAAGTTATCTTAAGTTAAAAAAATGATGTATAATATTTTTTTAAGAATATTTTTAACTAATATTTATTATAAAATATTTAGACAAAAGAAATATTTAAATAAATATAAAGATTCTATAGAAAATATTATAGTTTTGAATTTATACTTAATCACATCTGGTTTTAATATCCTTTTTAATGTCTTAATGTATTTTTCAGAAAGGCGAAATTTGGCCTCAATCTTCCGCAGATATTACAGTGTTTTTTCGAGCCATGGAAGTAGGCGAGATATCGAGCGTTGCTTATCTTGAAGTAACAGGTCGCGAGGACAGAATAGCCCTGAGGTTACAAAAAGAACTAGTATAACATTATTTTCGAAAAATTTCTTTTGTCTCAGAATTTTCTCATTAATTTTTCGTTTTAATGGTAGTCTCCATGGAACAGGCAAGGGACCAGTTTTCCATCTCAATGTGATTACTATCGATGTTCAGAATATTTTCCTGTGTTCTGTGCACAATTACGAGGTAGTCCAATGAATTTATTTACATATAAAAAATTTACAATTTGCATTTAATACAAACTTTATAAAAAATGTATTTTTATTGAATTTTTAAAATGTTATAGTCGACATTATTAGAATTATCTGACAAATTTATTTATCGAAAATTTATACTATTAGAAATTATTTCTCTTCTGTTCGTAGAAATGCACATAAATACGTTGCATGATAAATTATATGAACTTGAATTATTTATATTCCAGATTGTAGCGGCAAATAAAGGGCACATTTGTGGTACGCTGATTTATAAAGCAAGACCGACAGATTTTGGTGGCACAATTAATATTACTCCGTACGCTCTAACATTGAAACCAGACGAGTATAAATCATTTAATTTATCATTTTCTTCAAATCGAAAAGGAGACTTTGTAGAAAGAATCGACTTTGTCGTTAAAGAGAGTTTGGAAGTATTATCTTTGCATATCAAGTACGATATTTATATTGAACAATTGTTACATAAATTTTATATAAATGTAAATATATAAATTTTTTTATTTATAGAGGATGCATCGTATGCCCAACATTATATTTTGACAAGAGTAGTCTTGATTTCGGCGCAACTGCCTTAGGTATGCTTGTCATAATTAATGCAGTTCAATAAAAAATTGCAGTTTTACGCACATATTTGCAGGGTTTAGCAAAAAACAAGAAGTAAATCTTCGTAATTTATCCTTGGTTCCGGTTTCGTTTAGCGTAACAGTAATGGAAGATGGAGATCAGACATCTCTGACTCACAAAGAGTTTGCGGTATCTGAAGCGAAACTAAGTTTTCCAACTAATCCTCGCGAGTTTATAATAACTCCACAAAAAGGAGTGGTACAGGCGCACAGTTCGCTTAAACTAAGGGTAAACTACATAATGTCTTCGAACATGTAGCTTATAACAATTTGCAAGAATGAAAATCTAATCCCCACTTTCCAATCTTAAATATGTAGCTTATAACAATTTGCAAGTAAAAAGCTAATCAATACTATCTTGATTATTTTTTAATTCTTTCTAAATTAAATAATTAACGTAGACTGTTTTATGATTTTATATTAAAATATAGGTGACATATACAGCGAATATTGTTCGAAATGGACGTTTGAATATTCGAGTCGACATGTGGGATTCGGATTCGGATCCAGTAATACTACCGATCTCGTTTTGTGGTGCTATTCCCTCTCTATCTATTAAACCCACGGAGATTTCTATTAGATTTTCTTTCATCAACTTCCCTTACGCTCGTTCTATTAACGTAGAGAATAACTCTGACTTGGATGGATATTTCTATATAATACCGCAGGCGGTAATTGTTAAACTAATTTTGGAAGATAAACTTAGCAACAGCACACTGTTTTGTTCAGCATACAAAGAACATGTTATTAAATAATGTAGCTATTGTAAGCTAATTTTATTCTTTAGATATCCGAGAATATACCCATAGTATATTCACTGTCATCCTACCAAGGTTTTTTGAAAGCACGACAATCGAAAACGATTGACACTACTATCATCACCAAAGTTCTGGGCAAACAAACAACTACATTAAAGTACAATAATCAATATAATAATTTTTGAAATATAAAAGTTAGAAAGAATAATTTTCTAATTTAAAAAGATAAGAAAAATAATTCTAAGTTTTTTTAAGACGTTTATATACTGTTATTTCTTATTTAAAAACTTTATTGTACTTTTTTTTATTTCAGTATGTTGACAATGGGCGAAGAGGCTCCAGTTACATCTTGTACGATTATATGTACTGGTCAGGGACCAGTAGTATCTGCGCAACCCACTTGTCTCAATTTTGGGGAGATACAAGTGCTTCAAAATAAAATCATGAATTTTCGCATAATTAACGACTCGCCGATACCAGCGCAATTCAAATTAACATCAGTAAATATTTTTCGAATAAATTGCTTTAAACAATGAGTTTATAGAATATACAAAAAATACGAGAAAAGTTACATTCCAAAATTATCTTATTATTATTGCTTAGCGTAAAAAAAAATCACTATGGCTTGTCGAGCCAACCTCTGGAGAAATTGGACCGAACGGATTTACGGAGATTGAAATTAAAATATTTTTATGTGACACTGGTAAATACATTGACAATATAATCGTGCATGTCATCAATAGTCGGTCAATTTCCATTAGTGTGATTGCGACTGGAATCGGTTGTAGTATCGTTTTTGAGCCGCAGATATTTCCAATATTTGACATGGGTTTTCTTTTTAGGTAAAGAATATTGAAAAAATGTTAATTAATTTCAATGATTAAGCAGTAGCAAGGATTATTTTTAAATATTCATTGCTTTAATATAAAGTGTATTATATTTTTCACCCAAAATTTTAACAGCCATCAAAACCAGAGTCTGCCAATAACGATGAAAAACTTTGGCACGCGTCATTGCCAAATAATATGGTCAAATACTCCAGAAGTGCGCATCCAAAGAAGCCAAGAATGGCCAACGTAATCATATAATCTTTATTGCAATTCATAATTTAAATTTTGCCAAGATGCTAAAAATTATATTTACAGTAGGAAGTTTCAAATTGAACCGCTCACCGTAGAGATTCCAGCGAATGGTTCTAATGTAGTCCAATGCAAAATATGCTGGGACGTGTAAGTTTTAATTAAAAACCTTAATTTTAATTATAAAAATATATAGATAAATTATACAATAAATTTGATTACAATTAAAAAATTATGTGCGTTGAATTTGCTCAGCTTTCTTAAAGTCGTAATTTTAAATTTACCATTTCATGTCACAAAGAATTTTTTTCATATAGTATTTTTGCAATTTTATAATTACTATTTTTAAAATAATAATATAAAAAAGTTATTTTTATATTAAAGCAATGAGATTTTGACAGAAGATTGGTACGTATTTGGGCAGATTTCTGGACAAGGAAAGCGAGAATTGATTGGAATTTCTGTATTTAAAGCCACTTTTACGGAACCACGAATCGCATTCAACAAGAGAGAGTTAACGTTTCGCATTGATATATGTCCCGAGGGAGAAGAATTGCAACAGACAGGTAAAAAATTGTAATGTAGTGTACTATGTATTCAAAACTATTTTGACGAGATGAATTATACGGTAGAATTACGCAATTTAGTATTCCATATTCATAAAGCATCTATAAAGTACTTTGGTGTTAAAGTTTGTTTTATGTAATGATTGAGATTTATATATTATTTAAATTTAGGTACAATTTTATATGTATAAGACCTTTTTTATGTTAAGCAAAATAATAATAATGGTTTTTACTTTGCTGATTCTTTTAGACGAACTAGTCGTTACAAATCAATCGCGATTAAATTTAAACGTTCTATTATATGTTGAAGCTCCCTTTTATTTAATAATCGATAAAAAAAAGTTCATACATAAAAGAAAAATCATTCTAATGGATGGAAGCACCACGTCAATTCCGGTAAAGTTTTTGCCAAATATAAATCTCGATAATCCTTATTCGCGGAATTATAGCAGTACACTTTGCTTCGAATATGATGAACATCCTAATAAGGTACGTTGAAAGATTCTCATTGCTAATATATATATAAATCGGTTTTATGCACGAAATTATGCACGATTATTTATTTTTTAGGACAAAATTAAATGTAAAGGTGCCGTAAATTTCCCAAATATTAAGTTACTTTGCAAAGATTTAATTATCAATTGCGTTTTGGGTTCAAGCGCTGAGAAAAATTTGAGAATAACTAATAATGGACCAGTCCCTATAATGTACAAATTTCTATGGGCTGGAGAAAGTATTGAAATTCAACGAAAGGTATGTGACATTGGTGTAATTTTTTTGTCAAATTATAATTATTTATATACATATAATTATATAGCAAAGAACTAGTATTATTAGTATTGTTACTCTTTTAATAATTTTGAATAACTGACAGCATAATTATATGTATACATATATATATATTTCTTTAATAGAACCTTACAGATAGTTCAAAATTGGAAATTAATGTACAAAGCAAGTTTAATCATCATTTCTGTGAAATGAGAAAGAATTTGGAAACCCAGAAAAATGAATGTGAATCTACAAATACGTCGGATTTATCAACATCGTACGGTATATATAGGATTAAAAAAAAAAAGATTCAATATTTATATAATAGATAGAACGCACCACACTGATAAAAAAAACCTTAGTAAACAGTATAGTAGGTCGAAAGCCCATCCGTTTTTGAGATATAAACATTTTTGTATGTTAGCATCATGATTACGGCGATTTATAAAATCTCTTGCAAAATTTTATATTTATATATAAATATATTATCTTTTCTGTATATATTTTCATATCAGAGTTGCAAAAATTGGAATCGGAGAATTTGCTAATGGAAGTTCATTCTGAAACGCTAGACGAAAAGCTTGAAAAATTAAGAAATATTTTTTCGACGACAGAAATGTCTTGTTCACCATGCGTAGATGATCCAAAGATTCTTACTCTGATAGATTCCAGTGTCGAACTTCCCTCAAACGAGTTACTCGACGATGTTTGTTCCTTTCTTATCAGTAAAATTTATTTTTCAATTATAATTTTTACGAATATTATATATATTTTTACTAAATCATTAATATGTTAAAGAGAGTTAATTTTGCAAAGTAATATGTTATCCAGATACTTGATATTGTCCCGCACGAAGGCACTCTTGTTCCATATTCTTCGCAATATGTGCGTTTTATCTTTCACGGCTATCAGCCTATGCAGATCAAAGTTGTTGCGCTTTGTGATATTCTTCGGGGACCTACCGAAATGGTTAATGTGTTTGCCAGTGCAGATATCGTTCAATATGCTGTTGATAAACAGGTCATCGACTTCGGTCAACAGGTGAGTCGTCTTTCAATTTTAATATCGTCATTTGTAACTTTTTTAAAAATAATATCTACATATCCCATTATTAATTTTTATCTTTAATTATATATTTTATTTTCATCTTTAATACGGCGCAATAAACAGATTGCAGGCGCTTCGCTGAAATTTTTGTTTTATCGTAATACAATATTATTTTATATAACATTAGCTTTATCATCATAAACATTATCTCTCCATTTCTATGATTGTTTATTAAGAAACTATTACGATCTCGACATTTTAGCATAACGTTTTCAACGCTTTTATTAATTTTTAATATATATTTCAGTCAACATATAATTGATATCTTTTTCAATATTTTCTGATAGCGTAAACATTTTTGCTTATGTTACAATATTTTTCATTTTATTTATAGTTGACAATTTAAATTGAAACTTTGTTAATAATTATACAAAAAAGCAATTATTATAAGTTTAGAATTCCAAAAGATTAAATAAAATCGATTCATGTTTAATTAAAATTAATAGGTTTTAATTAATTAAATTAATTATTTGGTTATAGTTTAATATTCATTTATAGTTTAGTAATTCAATCTGTTGATCCATAGTTATTCGGTGAACTGTGTCGGTCGAGTTTCACTTTGGAAAATCAGAGCATAATATTTCTGGACTATAAGATAAACAAGAGGGATTTAATATCCATTGCAGAAAAGGTCGACCGTACAATCGACGCATTAACAGTCAAGCCGAGTAAAGGATCTATAGATCCTCTATCATCAATAAACATTGCGATAGAATTTCAACCAATGCTACTTGGTGCTTTCAAAATAGAATTTGAATTGCATGTGTGTTATTACATAGGATATTCTCATCAAATTTTATAATTAGAAAATTTTTTTCATTGCGTCAGTATTATTATTTAGGTGGCTCATCTGGATCCACTGATAATTACTGCGAAAGGTGTTACAAGTTATTCCCAAATTTATCTCTGCACTTCACGTGAAGTTTTTAAGCGACACTCTGTAAAATTTGGATATTGGGCAATTCAATTACTAACTCCGGATTACATTGAAATGGTATGAAATTTTGGAAATTATATAACAAAAATAAAATTTTAATATTTTACGTTGCAGAAAAAACAAGAAATAAAAATGCAATGTAATGATATGAATAATGATGAATCAAAATATCAAGTGCCTGAATGGGATGAAAGAATCTTATTAAGTAAATTTGAACATGATTAAATCCTTGATTATGAGATAATAACAAAATGTATAATTAAATATAAAATCGGTTTTTTCATAAAAATATCATAATTGTTTTAAAGATGACAGATGGGACTTGATTTCATATGATGAAGTATTTCCTAGTACTATTGATATCGAGATGGCAATTGACAGATTTCTGGCAGCTCAATTTATCGAAGAAAATACTTCCACCTTGATAAAACATTCTACTTTGCATAAGAAGGCTGTTATTCCTTTTCTCTATACCCCTGAATATATCATAGGTACGAAAAATATCGATCTCGTAAATTAATTATTCTCAAATTAATTAATTGTAAGTAATTATTTCCAAATTAACCACAAATTGATTTATAGATAATTACGAGACATAATTTGCAATGCTCAGAATGAAGTAATTAATGATATAACAAATATTTTCAGACATGGGTTATGTTATGATCGATCTTCAAACGTGTTACTCGACAACGATCATTAATTACGGGCCTTGGAATGTGGAGGTTGCAATAAAAAAATTAGAAAGAAAGCAACTTGAATATTCTGGCATTCTCGTGCAATTTGAGAAAGCTATGTTATTAGTTGGAAAAACTACATCTTTGACTATTATATGGCAGCCAACTTCGGCAAAATATACTGAAAGAAGCACGGAAGAACAGCATTCAATTTATTTAGAAGTAAGATTAATTTTTTGTTTTGCTGTTTAAATAAAATATGAACGAATAAGTTATGATACTTTTTCTGGAACGTAATATATTACATAAATAAATATTATATTTAAATAATTAAATATCATGACATATAATTTAAACAAAAATTTATTCTTATCTTTTTTTAGGTATCTCGTGGTTCTACAATTCCTGTAATTATAAAAGGCATCATTACATATCCATTCGTGCATGTCAACACAAAATTATTAGATTTTCAAAA